CACAAAGAAAGCACTTAATAAATGCTTTTTGCTTGATTGATCTGGTCTAACCTCATTTTACAACTGAGGAAACTGAGGCCTAGAGATAGGGTGACTTGTCACAGAGTTTGTGGTAGATCTTAGACTTAAATCTAGGTCTGTTGATTCCAGATCCAGTGATCTTTTAAACCATAGTATATTGCCCGCCCTTCCACTAACCTCCTTTATAGCTTTGGGCAAGTCATTTAATCTTTCAGGGCCTCATTTTCCAAATGCCATGCTGACCTTCTCAGAGACCTTCCAGCTTTAATGATTCAATCATACTCTCTGACATTAGTTGTGTGACATCTAGATCAAACAAGGAATCATCTGCTTTGATTAATTCAGAAGGTAGAAATCCTAGATATTTTATCACCAGGTTTCCATCCCTATGGGATTCACAGTTGTGTAATGAATTGAAGTCAGATTCATCTAAACTAAAAACAATTAATACTTTCTCCTGAACCAGTCCTATATCTCCAGCTATTTATTGATACATCCACTGAACCTGTCATCTTTTACTTCACCAAACTATCTCTCCCCCATGACTTCCCTATTTCTGCCAAAGGAATTAGTATCCTAGACATTTAGTCATTTTTCATTCTTTCTTCTGTGTATATCCCCATGTCCAAATCCTATCCATTCTTCCTTCGATAAGTCTCCTGAAGACTGAAATATCTGAAGTATATGGACTCTAAAAAATAAATAAGTAAAAAGATTGAAATGTCCATATCATTTGACCTAAAGAACACACTGCAAGGCATATACTCCAAGGAGATAAAAAAAAAGAAAGAAAAAGCCCAATGTACACCAAAAATATTAAAAAAAAATGCTATAGAAAGTGGTACTTATGGTATTTATTCTTATACTTTCTATAGTAGCAAAGTATACAAAGTACATACCCATTGATTAGAGAATGGCTAAGCAAATTATGGCATATGAATGGGATGGAATATTACTGCACAATAACAAATAATAGCTATGAAGAAGATAGTGAAGCATGAGAAGACATATGAACTGATGTAAAGTCAGCAGAACCAAGATAGCAATATACACAAGCAGTCTAAGTGGAGAGAACAAGAAGAAGAAGTAAATGATGTATAATTGTAATGACAAAGCTCAGCCCAGAAGAAGAAATTAGAGAATGAACCTCCCTTTCTTCTTTGCAGAGGAGAACTGCTGTGTTAGAATGTTGCGTATTTCTCAGACTCAGTTGATGTGTTAGTTGGTTCTGCTGAATTGCTATTTTTCCCCCTCTCTTTTTTTGTTTTTGGGGATGGCTTGTTGGATGAGAGGAGAGAGGGATATATTTGGAAATGAAGGTCATATGAAAATGAAGGCTATCAATAAAACTTGAGAAAAAACCTAGACTATTAACTACGCTTTTTATATTCACATTATAACCCTAGTTCAGTTATCATATTATCTTTAGAAGTGGTCCTGCCTCTAGTCTTTCCCTACTCCAATCTATTCTGATGACCACCATCTCCACATTGTTTTCCTGAAACCCCATTTTTATCACATATATCTTCCGGGAATCCTACAGGAAAAATGCAAACTCAACCTGACCGTCAACATCCTTCATAATCTAGCCTGCATCTGACAGTTCAACCTCATCTTCCATTACTCTCTAACACAGACCATCTGTTCCAATCAGGCATGTGTTGGTTTGTTCATGTGGTTTAGCCTTACCTGTAATGTCCAGTTTATCTAAACTCTCACTGACCTTAAAAGCCCATTCTATTTGCAGCTGTTCTGTGAAGGCTTCTTTGACCACTCCCTGTGACAATTCCCTCCTCTGAACCCCTATATCATGAATTAGAAATGCCACTCATTATCCTTATGCTACTTATTCTATACTGTGTACCACTTGTTAACTTTTCACGTGCAAATGTATCTTATTTCACCAAATGGACTGTAAGTTCCAAGAGGGCAAGGTCCATGCCTTTGATTTCTTTGTATCTCTCTATTAGGTAATGTAGTGTCTAATCGAGAACTTTGTACATAACAACCATTCAAATATCTATTACTGATTTATATACCTATCACTTTTACTTTTTCAGAGGACTCTCACATTTTTATAGTTTTATTCTCAAAACACCCCAATGAAGGAAGCCACAAAGTATAATTACTGTTTCAGAAATGGGACGATTGAGAATCAGAGGATGAAGTGATTTGTCTAAGGGAGAACTAGAATCTTCTGAATCCTAGGACAAAGCTCTGGTAATTAGACTTCCTTCTCTAGGCTCCTTTCACCATCATCCCCTTATTTGCTCTGACAATGCCCCCCCCACCCCATCTCTCAGACCCATTGCTATTAAGAGACATTGCCCATTAGCGGGTAACAGATTTGGTTCTTATCCTACAGACCTGCCAGAGCCGTACGTGTAGGACTTGGACATCCCTGGGCCCCTGGAAATACAATGTGTTGGAGCATTAAACTTGATGTGAGAAGAGACAGAAACTGGGATTCTCTTTGGATTTCAACTACTTATATGTTATATGTTACAGAGCAGGCCCTTTAATGTCTTTGGAGCTCAGCTTCTCCATCTGTGAAATGGAGGGAAAGCTTCCTTTCTCTCAGCTGGTAAAAGTACGAAAGAGATCATAGATGAGAGAAAATATTTTCCTTAAGGCAAAAAAAGTGCAAGGTGAAGCTACAGAGCAAATGTTACTTTGTGTCCCTCTCTCACCTGGGGCCCTAAAGTATGACAGTGAGCTTTGAGTTCACTTTTCTCTCTTAATTTCCCACCTGTATTTCGCTGGGCTTCTCTATTATGTCCCCAGGAACCTCATTATCTTGCAAGACCACATCAGCCTCGGTACTCACATCTTATCAGTGCCCTTTGCCCCCGGGAACCCTCTGGATGGAGGATGAAGTGGAGACCTCCTGCCCAAACCTCCATTTAAGGAGGTTGTCAAACCTGAGGCCGATCCATCTTTTCATTTTGCACCTGCCTGCCCTCTTTCGACTTCTCCATCAGCTCCTCCTCCCCACCTCTAACCGTATAGCTTCCCTTTCCCCCATCTTTTCAGCTTCCTTTTGTGGATAGTTTCCCTCATTAGGTTGCAAGCTCTTTGCACAGTGCTTGGCACATAATAGGCACTTCATAAATGTTTACAGACTGACTCTTTGGAGTCATTAGTAATTGGCAGGGCAAGAATGCTGCTTTTCCTCAAATAAGAGGTTTTTCCTGAGGAAGTGTCAGTACTCATGGGAGGTAGAAAAGAATGAGCAATTGATACAGCAAGAAGGCAAGAATCAGTTTTATGAGACTAGGCTGAGTTTGACCCTGGGCAGGTCAAAGAGAAGCTTAGGTTTCTGTCTGAATGCCGTTGGAGGAGTTCTGGACAGTTCAGCGGATACCACCTCTTCTCCCCCCAACCCCCATACAAACACACACACACACTCATGCAAATACACATCTCCCCTTACAAACACAACACCAAATATGCACACAATGATATACACACACACATGTAAGAATATCCATGGAAAAACACTGTAAAACAGAAATGGCCAGAGGTTTCCCATGGCTTATACATGGAAGTATTTATAGATATGCACACACTCACATAGACAAATGTGAGCACACACAGCCATGCAGACACGTATGTACAGGTACACCCACACAAGCAGGCAGACTGGGTCATACAGCCTGCCTCATGCACAGATACATACATATGCCCAAACTTTATCACTTGCAGAATCATAGAATTTGAGAGTTAGAAAAGTGAGGTTTCTTCCAGTCCACCCAGGCCACCTGATACATGAAAGAGATCCCCACTATTATTTACTCAACAAGTGGTTGTCCAGCCTTTGCCCACAAGGATGCAGCAGATTTTACCCTCAGCAACCACCTTGGAAGTACCCTGACCATCCAGCAGGATCAGTGAAATCCTGTATTACTGTTCTTTCCTTACTTTCCACTTCCTCCCCCTCTACACACACGCTTCCAGACCTGCCCTTCAGGGGTCTCCTCAGAGAGAGAGGCCCTGCCCACCAATAGGGATGCTGGCTTCTTTCCCAAAGTTTGTCTTTTCCCTAGTGTGAAGGCTTGGTTATCCTCTGGCCTATTCTCTGGAGGATGTGGGGATGGGGGTGGGGCTGGTCATGGAGCTCTGGGTAAGGGGGAGGGAGGGACTACAGAGGGAACAGTCATAGGATGGGGAGCTCCAGGCTGGAACCTCCAGGACTTGGCAAAGGTCAGCCGGGATCTCCCAAGCCTGGGTCTTATCGTAGTTCTGATGCTGGGAGGAAGCAAAGGAGGGAAAGACAGAAAAAGAAGGCACCATTTTGTTCTCCAGTGTCTGTGGCTCCTGGGATGTGAGGACTAATGGTCAGAGTCCCAGGTTTCATCTGCCTTCCTCCAGCTTTAAGTCTCTCACCTTAGGAGCTGCTCAGGAATCCCAGGGGAACAGAATGGGTCAGGTGGTTGAGATGAAGGAAGAAGAGATTTGTGAGATGGAGGAGTACCCAAGCTTGAACCAGTCTGGAAAAGGGAGGTGGAAAGGGAGGAGGGAGGGCTAACACCTGTTCAGAAACCAGACAAGGATGTCAAATGTCCTTTAGCTAGCCTAGGGTTGGGGGATCAGGGCAGTGGCAGTGGATAGGACACTAGAACAGAGAAAATATACCCCTACACTGGTAGAATTTTGTTTTAAAATTTAAAACAAAACAAAGTATGAGATTGGTCCCCACCTCTTCTTAATCATAGAAAAGGTGGGAAGTGGTGAATACAGATAGCACTCTCCCCAAAGGAATGAATGGTGTGTGTCTTGGAAGAAGGAAGGTTAGGCTATTAGTTTCCCAGTCTTCCACCACATCTCCCTAAAGTTATTGCCTCCATTTAGCAAACCAGTTCTTCAGCCTCCTCAAATAGCCCTCACCAACATCTGGAAAGTTGGGGCTGGGATAGGGGAGCAGTACCCTGGAGGATGAGGCAGGGAGGGTAAGGTTGGGGCAGAGGGATGCTTCTTACCGTCTGTGGAGGACTGCCCACTGTCATTTCCACGTAGTAGCCTTGACCAGACTTGCCTCTCAGGTTGTCCACCATCTCTACAAAACTGCTTCTGCGGCTGGACTCATCCAGTTCCTCGATGGCCTCCCGAGGCAGCCGGAGACCCAAGGAGAGTCCACTCTTCAGGGGGAGCCGGATTCCTGGCTGGGTGCACAACACCCCTGAGCCCATCCACAGCAAGACCCAGGGCAGGGCTTGAGCCATGATGCCCCCAACCCTCTCAGTCCCTCTCTAGATCCCTCTCCTCCCCCTTTCTTCTCACCCCCTCCCCACTCCCCAACTCTTTGGGTGGTGGTGATGGGCAGGCTTCTTAGGAAAGGGAGCCCAGGGGCATTAGGATCCCACACCCAACAGGATCACTCAGCTGCCCTCATGCTTCAGGCTTTGGAAGTAGGACAGAGAAAGAAATCTCCTGAGTGCAAGAGAGAGTGCCCAGTGCCACATCTAGACAGGCATGCAGCCCCATCAGGCATCTAGAAGGGGGAAGCTCAGGGCCCCTGAAGGGTAAGAGTGCTGGGCATGTTGAGCGGATAGATTTTTTTTCTTGTCCTCTTGGTAGACGTCAGCATGAGCAGGCGGGTAGGGGAGGTGGCAGGGGCTGCTTGGGGCTCTAGGCTCCTACAACCTTCATTTTCTGATCAGGCCCCCATAATCCCCCAGCTCCATCCAGGCTGGGAAGGCGGAAAGACTTGTGGCGGTTGCTGTCAAAGCCAAAGGGTTTTTGCTTTTCCCGGGGATTCCTGGGAAGTGTAGTCTTCCCCTGACAGCCAGTCCAGCTTCCGGAGCAAGTTAGGCAGTCTTGGATGCCCTCTGCCGAGAAAGAACCAACTCTTTCCGGAGGCTGAGGCAAAAGTTTATTTTGGCCCTGGAAGGCAGGGAGGAGTCGGCAATGAGGAGGAAAAAGGGCCAAGAAAAAGCTCTCGGATTGTTGGTGTTAATGGAAAGAAGAGCTGGTCTGGGACAAAAAGGGGAAGTTTGGGGTGTCTCAGACTCTTGTTTTGTAACTTTTCTTTTTGCAGGCCCACACTATCAAAATTTCCTCTCTGATACTCCACAGATAGCAGAAAGTGTCCTGTCTATATGACTATGATTACTATTATTAACTTTATTAGCAGCAATTCGGCTTACAGAGTATAAGTGTGAATTATTATTACTAACAATAAAAACACGGTTAATGATAATAATAAAAATCATAAAGAATAACCTTAAATTAAAGAGAAGATTTAATTAGAAAAATTAGAGGCTGGGAGTAAGCTAGTTAGTCAGGGCTTTTCTGCTGTCTTTAAAATGATGGGGAATGCTATAGGTAATGCACCACACTGTGTTCTTCGATAGTCATTTTATTTAATTATGGAGCATGTTAGTTGCATGATATAGAGGAAAGTCCCCTGCATTTGAGTCAGAAGATTTGCAAGATAAATTAGTAATTGAAGTAATTTCAGAGCTCCAGGAAGTCTTGCTGAGCTAAAAGCAAAGCTGCTGATAAGCTTATGACTTGCCTGGAGGGTAATTTCTTTCTTCAAAAAGTTGAGGGGAAACCCAGGGGAAGTGGTATTCTAGCCTATAAAGACTACAGATTGAGAGTTCTAAGTGCTTTACAAATAATGTCTCATTTGATGCTCACAACAATCCTGTGAAGTAGGTTCTATTATCCTCATTTTGCAGTTGAGGAAACTGAGGCAGACTGAGGTTATATGACTTGCCCAGGGTCCTACTGTGTCACCTAGCTTTCTCATGGAATGGGCCATCGAAGTCATTTCATCCATTCCCTTTATTTTACAGAGGAGTAATTTGAGGTCCAGGGAGATTAAGCAATTTGCTCAAAATCACAGAGGCAGAAAGTGGTAGAGATAAGATCTGAACCTAAATCTTTTGATATAAAATCCAACACTTTTTCTTCCACTGTAAGATGGAGGTTAAGGATAGTGAGAGTACCTGTGATTTCACTGATCCAATCAACAGTCAGTGAGAAAATTCTTACCAAGGCAGGTGGGCACCTTTTCTGAAATTTTGGATCCCAGAGACCAGCCAGAACAGAGAAGTTAAGGAACCTGCTCAGGGTCACACAGTTAGTGTGTTCCAGAGGTCACATCTGAACTGAGATCTTCCTGGCTCCTGGGTTAGTTCTCTGTCCACTACCCCACTCCAACGTAGTAGTGGCTAAAGTGCAAAGGTAGAAACTTCAGGGGAAAGTACCTACTTACTCTATTCCATTCTAGAGTTTGTGGTAGAGGAGGAGGAAGCCAGGCACAGTTTGATTTACATCCTAGATTTTGAGAGAGTGTGTTTCAGAGAGTTTAGAGGAAGGACAAGAAATCAAGCCAGGAGAGGTTTGAAGTTCTCAAGAATGAAATTCTAAAGATAAAAAGAAAAACAATCATCTAAAGTCATGGAGCTAACTGGAGAGACTGATATGGATGCCCAGGTAATTTAACAACCAGTTTAGTCTTTTTAAAGAGGACAGAAGATGGAAGCAAGGGTAGATGACAGAAGAGGAATTAAAGAATGTGGTGGGAGCCTTGTAAGAATCATGTCTGGAACACTAAAGCTAACTGTCAGTTGAGGCTACTGAAAGAACAATAGACAAGGACTTTTAAAAAGCTGGTTGGAAGCAAGAGGAAGATTAAAGAAGGAATGGGATCACTGCGCAGATGGATTGGATACAGAAAAGGAAGAAGTATTTTGACATATTTCCTGTTTTCCCTACTAATGAAAATAATCTTCGAACTGGGAAGAAGGGCTCAAGAATGGTTAAAAGGGATAAACGAAGACATGAGGAGTTACAGTAATAACAGCAATAGCATCAGTAAGGACATTTAGATGGTACATGGTACCTTTGAGAGGCAGCATGGTATAGAGGGTAGGTGGGCTGTGGAGATAGGAAGCCTTCATTTCAAGTCCTGTCCATACTGCATACTAGTTATGGGATCATGGACAAGTCATTTAATCTTTTAGTATTTCAGTATCTTACTAAGACTGAAAGTTATAAACAAATTTTGATAAAATTGCTACTCTGGATCCATAGGGAAGGCAGGGGGCATAGCAACTGTCTTCAAGTATTTCAAAGGCTAAGGAAGAGGGCTCAGACTTGTTCTGTTTGGCCCCAGAGGGCAAAACCAGGAGCAAATCTAAGTTTGGTGTCAGGAAAAATTTCCTAACAATTAGAGCTATAGGAAAGTATAATGGGTTGCTTCAGAATGTAGTGGGTTGCCCCTCACTGGCCCAATTCCCCTTAGTGCCTATGCTATCCCTCTATAGATCATTTCCAATATATCTTTCTTGTAAGGAGTTATTTTCATATTATTTCCTCCATTAGATGATGAGCTCTTCAAAGGTAGGAACTGTCTTTCGCCTTTCTTTGTATCAGCAGCACTTAGTACAGTGCCTGGAACACAGTAGGTGCTTACTAAGTGCTTGCTGATTTGTTGACTGGAGATCTTCAGCTGGGGGCTAGCTGACTACTTTTCAGGCATGTATGGGGTTCTCTTTTGGAGAAGGGTTGGACTAGATGACTGCTGAAGAAACTTTCAATTCTAAAACTCAGTGATTCTGTGACTGAAATGGTGAGGGACCTAGAGATTATGCTTCAGGAGGATTGGTGGAAGAAACTGGATGCATTTTCTTTTCAAATAGTATTTTATTTTTTTCCGATAACGTGTAAAGGCAATTTTTAACATTCATTTAAACTTTTTTTGAATTCTAAATTTTATCCTCCCTTCTTCTTCTCCCCCTGTCTAAAAAGGCAAGAATTTTAAATAGGTTATATATGTGCAATCATGTCGAATGTATTTCCATGTTAGTCATGTTGCAAAAGAAAACAGACCAAAAGGAAAAGACCATGAAAAACATAAAGAAAGTGAAAATAGTATGCATTTAGACTCCATCAGTTCTTTCTCTGGATGTGGACAGCATTTTCCATCATGAGTCCTTTGGAATTGTTTGGAATCATTGTATTTCTGAGAAGAACTAGTCATTTGTAGTTGATCATCACACAATGTTGCTGTTACTGTGTACAATGTTCTCTTGGTTCTGCTCACTTCACCTTGCATCAGTTCATGTTAGTCTTCTGGGTATGTTTAACTGGGAAGAGATCTAGGGTCTACATCATGACCATCTTCAGTGATCTAAAGGGTTGCCATATAGAATAGGGATTAGATTTGTTCTTCTTGATCCACAGCATAGAACTAGTACTAATAAGTGGAAACTGAGAAGAAGCAGATTTTGACTCTATATAAACAGGTTTCCAAAAGTGAAATGGACAGCCATGAGATAACGAGTTACCCCTTCTTAGGTTCTTCAAACAGAAATGACTACTTCTTGGGCCTGTTGTGGAAGGCTTTCCTTGTCAGGTATGGGTTAGACTAGATGTGCTCTGAGGTTGTTTTTTTTTTTTTTAAAGGCAATTGGGGTTAAGCGACTTGCCCAGGGTCACACAGCTAGTAAGTGTCAAGTGTTTGGTTTGAGGCCAGATTTAAACTCGGGTCCACTTGACTTCAGGGCTGGAGCTTTATCCACTGTGCCACCTAGCTGCCCCCTTCTGAGGTCTTTTAAACTCTGAGATTCTGTGAATCCCAAATTGGCTATGTTCCCAAAGTTATCTAATCTCTCTTCCTGCCTTTAGGTGGGATAGTCTCTTTTCTACCATATCATTATGGATATATAAAGATTCTTTCTGTTCAAGTAATATGATGATGATAAGTCATATTTATATACTATGTTAAAGTTTTATAAGTGATTTCTTTGTAACAATCCTGTGAAGCGTCATAGAGTCTTTCTCTTCAAGATGCAGCTTAAGCACCATCTTCTATATAAAGCCATTCCTAATTTCCTCAACTTCTAGTGCTCTCCCTCCCAAACTACCTTGTATTTAACTATTTTGTATGCATCTGTATTTATTCATCTTATATTTAAGTTGTTTTCATTCTTTGTACTTTGTATCTTCAGCACCTAGCACAGTGCCTCACACATAGTAGGTATTTAATAAATACTTGTTGATTGGCAATATTCCCATTTTACATTTGAAGAAACTAGGTCAAGGTCTTAATAATTAGGTCCTTCAGCTGCCTTTCCCTATCTTCTCCTTATTTGCTCTAATTTTCTCCCACTTTCAAAAAGAAACCTTTCCCAGTCCCCTTATTTTTAGTGTCTTCCCTGTGTGCATTATCTTCGATTTATAGTGTATATAGCTTGTTTGTACATAGTGATATTCCTTTAATTTTCATCACTGAGGTCTTGCGTGTTCAAGGGCGGACCCCTTAACTTTCTAGCATATCAACTTCTCTATCTACAAAATGGAGAAAATGTTCCCTGCCCTTCTCTCTCTCTCTCTCTCACAGGGGTGCCATGAAGCAAAGGCATTATAGATGAGAAAGTTACAAAATAAGTCCACAGGGTCAATGTATTTTAAGTCCATCTCTTGATATTCAATACTCTCTCAAGTCAAATAATTGGCATTACATTTTAAGGAAGTAATTTATTAAAAAAACATTTGTAAAATTATTTTTATAGATGTGCTATGTGTAATGAGGAAAAACTGGAAAGTCTACCTGTCCGATGAGGGAATGTTTTAACTTTATATATTATTTTTCCAGTTTTTCCTTATTATATAGAATGAATGGATGAAAAAGTATTAATTGTTTACAATGTTCCAGGCACTGGGGATACAAATCCAGAAAAGCTAGATAGCATCTACTCTCAAGGAACTTGCTGTCTAATAGAGGAAGACAATACATATAGTGAAATGTTGGCAAGGAAGGGGGTGTTTTAGCCAGGAAAGTCACAAGGATAGTGAGTTGAATCATAGAACAATTGATCCTTTCTAGAAATGGTAATGTGAATTTGAATGTTATTCTTCAGAACTAGAAGTGATAAGAGGAAGGAGACAGGAGTGAGGTTCATTCTGCATTTATATAGAGCACTGTTACAAACATCTTTGTGAAAATAGTTTTACTTATAAGGTACTTCCTTACAATATATTCCTAGTAGTTAAATACAGAGTTCATTATATTTATCTGTGTTCTCGTCTTATCTTTCTCCTAGGCTGTAAGTTCTAAGGGAACCCTGTCTCTTTTAAACTTTTCTGTTTCCATACACAGTAGGCGCTTAATATATGTTTGTTGACTGCTGAGCTACTTAGTAGGTGTGATTCTGGAGAAGAGATTTAATCTCTAATCTTAATTTCCTCACCTGTATCTGAAGGCAATAATTAGTTAATCAAGCTACTGATTAATTAATGGATAGTAGAAATCCTGTAGGTTGCTTCTTTTTATCATGGGTTTATGTTCCGATGCTCAGACTTTCCACTACGAACTCCAAACTAACGCACATAGATCACCCTGAACTACAATTTCCGTCATGCAACGGGCTATGCGTAAGGACCACACATAATCTGATAGGCCCTTTAGCCAATCCCATGCTACCGGATGCTCCAGCAGACCTATAGGCTGGGGTTAGGGGCGGGATTTTCCGTTGCTAGGCTGTCCCCATCCCGGAAGTAGTTGTTGGCCGCTGCAGGGCAACACCCCGGCGTCCCTGGAAGCGGGGAGCCGGGGTGGTGCAGGGGAAACTGCGCGGAACCGGAGGCCAGAGGCCGGAGCCTCCTGGGGCAGGGGGAGCGTCCGGGACCAGGTGAGGACGTCTTGGAGGGCGAGGTTTGGTGGCCTTGGGAGGGGAGGATGGTGATTGTACAAGAGTGTGTGTGTGCCAGGGAGCCGGTTGTGCGCTCGCGAGCTGGAGAGCGCGGGAGCTCAGCCAGAGCATCCGTGGTAGAGCGAGTGTGCAAGCGAAGGGGGTCGTCGCTGTGTATGGGCAGGCGTGTCTGCATGTGTGCGAAGGCGAGTGTGCAAGGGAAGGGGGTCGTCGGTGTATGTGGGCAGGTATCTGCATGCTCAAGGGCGAGTGTGCAAAGGGGAGGTCTTCGATGTACTTGGTTAGATGTGTCTGCTTTCGTGTGTGAGTGTGCAACACGGGGGTCATTGGTGTGTGTGGGCAGGTGTATCTGTACAAGGGAGAGTGCAAGGAGGGTCTTCTGTGGGCTGAGGCAGGTGTGTTTGCATATGGAGAGGGACAGTGTGCAGGGAGCACTAATTTCTAGGTTCATATTCCATGGAAATGTAGCCAAGGATGTGAGTTTGAAAAGGCCTGGGCACCTGAATAGTGTTTGTAATGGATAAGTGTGCAAATGTTCCTAGTTGTGTGCCCCAGTGTGACTGTGTTGTTGGTGTGCAGTGGTACAAACCTCAGTGGATGTATGGACCAAGTTTGTCCATGTCTGCAGTGAGTCCAAGGGTGGATTATGAAAACCAAGTCACAGAAGGAACAATTGTTTGGAGCTCTTTAGCAGAGAGAAGAGAATACTTAGGAGAGATATGATAGCTGTCTTCAAATAGTGTAAGGACTCCTTTATGTAGGAAGAAGAGAAATTCCTTCTGTGTTTTGTCTTCCCTCCTTAGACTGTAAGCTCCTTGAGGGCAGGGACCTTCTTTGTTTTTATTTATATTTTTATCACTAGCACTTAGCACAAAGCCTGGCACATAGTAGGAACTTAATAGATGTTTATTGACAGACTGAAATGACATTTGTAGTGTTTCTCTAGATTAAGGCAAAGCAAGGATCAATGGGTGGATTTTATAAGGAGACAGATTTTGACTTAGTACAAAGAAGAACTTAAAAATGATAGCCCAACAACAGGATGGATTGTCTGGTTAACTAGTGAGTGCTCCAAACCTGTTGTTACTTTGTATACCTCACTCTGCATTTCACTCTGCATCAGCTCATGTAAGTCTTTCCAGGTTTTTCTGAGAGCATCCTGCTCATCATTTCTTATGGAACAATAATATTCCATTACAATCATATGCCACAGCGATGGGCATCCCTTTGATTTCCAATTCTTAGCCACCACAAAAAGAGCTACTATAAATATTTTTGTACAAATAGTTCCTTTTCCCCCCTTTTTTTTGAGGTCTTTGGGACCTAGCTGTGGTATTGCTGGAAAAAAGGATATGCACAGTTTTACAGCCCTTTGCACATAGTTCCAAATTGCTCTCTAGAGTAGTTGGATCAGTTCGCAATTCTACCAACAGTGCATTAGTATTCCAGTTTTCCCACATCCCCTCCAACATCCAACCTTTTCCTTTTTTGTCATATTAGCCAATCCGATGGGTGTGAGGTGGTGCTTCAGAGCTGTTTTAACTTGCATTTCTCTGATCAATAGTGATTTAGAGCATTTTTTCATATGATTATAGATAGCTCTGCTTTCTTTGTCTGAAAACTGCCTGTTCATATCCTTTGACTATTTATCAATTGGGGAATGACTTTTATTTTTATAAATTTAACTCAGTTCTCCATATATTTGAAAAATGAGACCATTATCAGATACTTGTTGCAAAATTCCCCCCCCCCAGTTTTCTGCTTTCCTTATAATTTTGATTGCATTAGTTTTGTTTGTGCAAAACCTTTTTAATTTTATATAATTAGAGGGGCTGAGTTTTCAATGAGATTATATGCTGGAATAACCACTTCTTTGCTAGTTCCTGGGGTTTACAATTGAGTAGCTGGTTGAAGTTAGGATGAAGCAACCCTTGGTAATCTGATTTTTCCCATCACCTATATCCCTTACTAAAACCCAGTCTTGATTTTGGGGTTGATTTCCTGGATCTGTCATTTCTCATTCATCTAACTGCTTTTTGACTTTTATTATGCCTTTTCCTGAGGATTTGATAAGGCAAGGAAGGCAAGGGAAAATGAATCTATTCATGCTATTCTTTGACAGTGGTTGTGGCAAAAGATTTGCTTCTGAAGGAAGTGGAAGTTATTTGCTAAAGTAAAGTTTTTTTGATTATCCAGGGATTTTTATTACCCAGGTTTTACCTGATTTCTTAAACAAGTTGAATATAACTAGATCTTAAGCTTAAAGGGCAGGCAAGGACAGGAGATGTAGGATGGGGACACAGAGAATTTTCTTACACTCACTGGTGTACAAAGATTCTCATGATGCTCAGCACACAGAGTGTCTTGGCCACTGCTGCTTCTTCCCTCACTTCCCTTTTTTGCTCCTGTTGTACCTTCCTTTCCTACTTTTCTCCTCAATTACAAATGCTGAGTGTTCAGGTGACCCCACAGGCCATCATACAAAAGTCTATTTATTCTCTTGTCAGAAAGCAGAAGCGCTGATGCGTTTTGGTGGTCTAGGTATCCAATTCCTTTGGATGGTTCCTGGCACTTCCTTACATTGCTTTTTGATTGTGGAGGCCTGAGCATTATATTAGCATGTTACTTGATTTCAAAATCCTTATCTCAGTTTAGCCAACTGCGCAATAGAGAGAATAATCTTTGATAACTCTGGCTTCTTTGGAAACAGTCAACTTTCCATTTATTGCTCTTGGGAATAAGCAGTTCTGTGTACTGTTTTCCATTCTGTCACCTGATAGCTTCTGAGGAAAAGGGAAGAGGGAGGAGTCCAGGTCCTGGGATTGCAGGGCAGCACTCTTAAGTCTTGCTGTCTGGAATCATTCGTTGGCATTTAGATACAGGTATTGGTCATTTCTGGCCTGCCTGTTTTCCCCAGAATAGTTTGTATGGGTTGCCATCCTAAAAAAATCAGTATCCATACAGCTGCAGTCTCCTGGTTTGTTCTGTTTTAGTTCACTCCTAGGATAAGGTGTGAGCTATCTGTGATTCTTGAGAGACAAGAATGAGATTGTATGCTGGAATAACCACTTCTTTGCTAGTTCTGGCTTTTTCTGGGCTGGGCTTCCCACTCTATTTTAGAACATGTGAGTTTTTATCTGTATATAAATGGGTGTTTGTTGGCTGTGTATGTCAGTAACCGTTATGATTAAGTGCAGGATTATGTGAGTAGAAGAGGGGTATGTATTTGAGCAGTGAGGAGAGGGTGGTGGTGTTGTTGTTTTTCAGTGTTAGAGACTGAGATATTAGGCCCCTTTGGGCCAAGGTCCCAGCTCTTTTTTTGGTGTTCATACTTGTTTAGCAAGGCTTTGAAAGAAAGGGTTTGTGGATCCAACCAGTCCCTCAGGCTTGAAGTCCAGGAATCGTCCTCAGCTTCTCACTGTCTCTCACTCCCCATATCCAAGTTGTTGCCAAGGCCTGTTGATTTCACCTTTACAGCACCTCCCATATATACTCCTTTCTGTCCTCTGACAGTGCTGCCACTCTAGTGCAGACCCTCATCATGTCATGCTTTGATTATTGCAAAAGACTGCTGGTGGGTCTGCCTGCCTTAACTGTCTCCCCTCTCCAAACCATTCTCCATTCACCCACTAACATGATTTTCCTGACACACAAATCTGATCATGTTACCCTCCCTGTTCAGTAAACTTCATTGGCTTCCTGTTGGCTCCAGGAGCAGTGACAGAATGCTCTGTTTGGCATTCAAAGCCCTTCTGCCTCTGCAGTATTTTTACACCTTCTCCCCAACATGTACTCTTCAGTCCAGTGATACTGGCCTCCTGACTGTTCCATGAGTAAGACTCTCCATCTCGTGGCTCTGAGTGTTTTCTCTGGCTGTCCTTCATGCCTGGAATGCTCTCTCTCCTCATCTCCATCTCCTGGCTTCCCTGGTATCCTTCAAGTTCCAACGGAAATCCCATCATCTGTAGGAAGCATTTCCCAACTCCTGTTAAATCTAAAGCTTTCCCTCTTTTAATTGTTTTTTGTTTTTCCTAAATATAGCTTCTTTGTACGCATTCATTTGCTTGTTGTCTCCCCCATTAGACTGTGAATTCCTTGAGGGCAGGGACTTTCACCTCTTTTTTGTATCCCCAGAGCTTAGCACAATGCCTGGCACATAGTTGGTGCTTAATAAATGCTTATAGATTGACGGTTTCCTCTGTAAATGAGAGCTAATTCAGGCCTCCCTCAGAATTCCTGGAAGAGTGCTTGGTGCCTGGGTGGGCCTAGGATTTGAGTTCTTTATTACCTTCTTGAGAAATCCTAGTTTTTGGAGAGGCCTGGATTGGGAGCTGCTTGACTTTCCCTGTGTACTTTGTGAACCTACCCCAAACATGCCCCTTGTTTCCTGGCCACGGATTGTTCTTCTGGGATTTATCTCTTGGGTCTAGGTCTGGGGGCCCAGATGAAACATGGCGGGGCGACCTATCCGCATAGGGGACCAGCTGGTACTGGAAGAAGACTATGATGAAACCTACATCCCCAGTGAACAAGGTACTGAGTTACAAGAGGAAGCCTGGTTGGAGGGAGGGAATTGTGGGATGGAATGGACCCCTTAGGCAAGGGGAAAGCAAGAATTCCCAAACACAGAGGGAAAAAGTGAAGGTTTCTGCTTTAAGGTGCTAATAAGAACACATGTAATAAAAAGAAATAGCTAACATATCTATATGCGCGCGCACACACACACACACACACACACACACACACACATATACTTACATAATGAGCTTTAAGGTTTGTAAAGAGCTTTGCATGTTATCTCATTTGATCCCCACAACAACCTTGTTAGGTAGGTGCTATTGTTATACCCCATTTTGCAGATGAGGAATCTGAGGCTCAGAGAGTTAATTGACTTGCCCAGGGGCTAGTAAGTATCTGAGTCAGGATTTCAACTCAGGTCTTCCTGATTCCAAGTCTAGCCTTCTGTCTGCAAGATCACCTGGCTACCTCTATAACATTTCAAGGTATACAAAACCTTTCGTTACAACCCACATATGGGATAGGTATTGTAAAAATTATTTTTTCTGTTTTTAAATTAAGGAAATAGATTTGTCCATAATCACACAGATAGTAAATGTGACATTGAACCCAGGGGTTCTTGCTGTACACCTAATTTTCTTTCTCTTACCATGTTGTCTCACTACCTTCCTTCACTGTACTGGGTACAGTCTTGGAAAATATCCAGATGTTTTGTTCATGCTTTTTTTGTTTGTTGGTTAGTTTCTGTTTTAGGCAATTGGGGTTAAGTGACTTGCCCAGGGTCACACAGCTAGTAAGTGTCAAGTGTTTGGTCTGAGGCCAGATCTGAACTCAGGTCCTCCTGACTTCAGGGCCAGTACTCTATTCACTGCGACACCTAGCT